CCCCCCGAGCTCCACCATCAGCCGGAGGCAGGAAAGCGCTTTGTAGGAAGTCATTAAAAGCAGCGTTGCTGCTGCTTATGTTGACGTTGCATCACTGCAGGCTTTGTTTTACATCTAAAATAAGCTCCGATACAAGAAGTATAATAAGTTAGAAGTTACTTCATCTCACTGAGGCACAAGATCACGTTCATTCAGAGTAAAGCTGCGTTTAGACCGTTAGTCTGACGGAACAAGACCTTCTTGTCTAGTCATGGTTAGATACTGGTTGCAGGAGTGTGAGATATAACATTCTGTGATGATATACGTCATGTTTTATGTATTGTGATGTAGTACTTTTATAGGGTGGGCCGATGGCAGGAAGTGACGGAGATGAGGGTTGACGTGTAACATAATCGGGGTTGTTGAACTTTAAATAGAAACACGAGGTCTTACTGCTTGTGGAAAGTTTCTATTTTGAATATTCACGTAATTGAGCCACAGTAGTTTCAGGTCACGTCAGTTTAAAGCTGATTCACCTGTGATGCTGTTTGTCCTGACAGTAATCTGTGTGCGTTTGGTTGTGCGTTTGTATTTGTCCATTAGCAATGGATTGTGTGTGTGTGTGTGTGTGTGTGTTATCAGTGTAGCGTCCGAAGGTTGTGTTTGCAGTAGAAGCAGGTGTGTGTGTGTGTGTCCTTGACCGTGTTTGTTCAGATAGGTGAAGCAGATAAAGGTCTGAAGCTTCCTGACATCCACTCTTTACTTTCTCTTCACTAATCCTCCTACATTTGAACATCATTCAACTTTAGTCCACTCTCTCAAAATTCCCCCGAAATCCATCTATCTTGTATTTTGAAAAGTTTTACTTCCTGTTTTGCTTCCATTGAATTCAATGTTTTCACAGTTCCTCTGATGCGTGTCACCTTTGCTCCCTTCCTCTCTCCCACGTGAATCATTCCACCATCACTTCTTCGGCTCTTTATCTTTCCTGCTGCTCCTCTGTTTGTATTCCTCGTCCTCTCAACCTTTCATTTTCAACTTGACCTCTCGGTCTCCATATTCCGTCCTGTTTGACACGAGTCTCGAGCTAAACAGACTTTGGAGGAAACGTGGCCGTTAACAGGTTTATTGGTCTCTTAAAGGGCCAGGCCGCTGATTGTACTCCTGTAGTTCAGTGTATTATAAGGAGTGTCTCTCTGTGTCTCTGCAGGAAGCTTCAAACAGAAAGCCGACATTACAAACAAAGGGAGCGTTCAGGAGGCAGGAAGTGTTTAATGAACTATGCTTTTGAGTTGCATTATGGGAAACTTTAGTGGCTCCAGTGTCCATTTTTATCTTTTTCCCCCAAAATCTGTCTCTTGTGAGTTACCCGACTTCATAGAAGTAACAATTTCTGAACAGTTGTATTCATTTATCTTACTTATATATTTCACTGTAGATTCTGCAGCGTGAAACCGAAAATGTATTCTGAATTTAAGCAGCTTTAATTTAAATGATTTCCAATAAAACAAATCCTCCTGAATTTGAGCCATTAAAAGTCACAGAAATACCTAAAAAATAGACGATGCTAAATATATAATCAAGTATCTGTTTTCTTAGTGGGTGATGGACTTAGCGCTCTCATGTGACGCTCTGGTATGTGGACCGCTTCCAGTCTTCATTACCTCACTGGGGGATTTCTGACTTGATGGAAGACGGCACGCTGACGTGATCTTCGGCTGTGGGAGTTTCCAGCGTTTCATTTCAGTCTGTGTTGGTGGTCGGGGAGAAAAGGTGACTCAGGATTCATAAAGCCTGCACAGCGACCTCTCTGTGCTTCTATTACTGACAGAAGGGAGATCTATTCTCATTACTACTGGTGCATGAAGTTCAGCAGACTGTCGGAGAGTATTTAGAGGTGTGTGTGTGTGTGGGCTCTATAATTAAGATGGCATGTCGTCTACTGAAGGCTGCCTTCACACCTGGAGTGTGGAGTCCACCGCGGTGCAGTGTGTGAGGAGGAAACGGGCCTGAAACACGAGGCTTCGTGAGCTTTAAGGAGTCTGGAATCGATTCATCGTCGATCAGTCAGGATCGGCTGATTCGTCATTTAAATGTTGTCGGACAAAACGAGACGCGTCGATGTTCTTTTCAAAACATCTCGCGGTCTGATGGAGGATCTTGAGTTCTGCAGAAGAAGAAGTGATTTCTCTAACTTGTTGTGGAATAATCAAGGTAATAATTTGCACATCAGTCATTTTTTTACATCAGCTTCATGTTCAGCTGTGGAAGCAGAGAGAAGACTCGCACTCATCTGCGTCAGAGTGAGATCGCACCATGAGCCTCTGTCTCTGGCATCTCATTGACACTGCTGTCTGTTTGCTGAGGTGTGTGTGTGTGTGTGTGTGTGTGTGTGTGTGTGTGT